ACGAGTGGGCTGGGCTGAGAGTGATTGGCCCAAAGTCACCCAGCTGTCTTTTGTTCATAAAGTGGAACCAGAACTCCTTGTCTCCTGATGATTGACTCAAAGTCACCCAGTTGGCTCTCGTGCCTAAAACAGAACTAGAACTCACAATCTCCTGATGATTGGCCCAAAGTCACCCAGCTGTCTTTTGTTCATAAAGTGGAACCAGAACTCCTTGTCTCCTGATGATTGACTCAAAGTCACCCAGTTGGCTCTCGTGCCTAAAACAGAACTAGAACTCACAATCTCCTGATGATTGGCCCAAAGTCACCCAGCTGTCTTTTGTTCATAAAGTGGAACCAGAACTCCTTGTCTCCTGATGATTGACTCAAAGTCATCAGTCATCTGACTTTTGTGTCTAAGCCTGGACCAGAATTCACCATCACCTGGTGACTGACCTTAATTGGCTTTCGGGCCTAATGCAGGACTAAAATTTCTAATCTCCTGTTGATTGGTTCAAAATCACCCAGCCGGCTTTTATGCCTAGGGCAGGATTTGAACTCAGGATCCCTCCTTTCTAGCCTGCACTAGACCAAAATCTCCAAAGAAGATCCCCCCCACTTTTTCCTCCCCCAAACTGTCTGTCATCACTTATAGAAGCTTTCAGAGGTATTTGCAGACTGTTAGAAAAAGTCAAAATGGGGCTTACCCCAGGTCAATGGTGGGTTACGACTGGTATGCCCCGGTAAAGGTGTACCGGTGCCTGCCAGTACGGTGCTCCAGAGGGCCCACCCGCCTGCCCGCCATCCTTACCTGTATTTGAACTCTTTGGGGCTTCCGTGCACGGAGCGTACAGTGCCTCCGCGATGCTCCGCTAAGCAGCTGGAGCGTTGTGGAGGTGTCGCAGAGCGTCACAGAGGGTAAGTACTCATGCCTCTGCGCATTCATGTAGTGGACGCTGGGCCCCGTTGCACCATAGTGGTTGCAATGGGATCCGGAACCCACCACTGCCCCAGGCCACTTTTGAAGCTGTGCCTTGTTTAATGTCCGCCACATATCACAGCCACAGTGTATTCTGTCTGAAGAGTCCTTCAAAAATAAAAAATAAAAATGCTTCAGAGAACACTTGTTGGCGTCTTTGGATGTTGGATGTTGGCGTCTTTGTGTTTGTTGTTGGAATGCAACTTATCTTAATTGCAATCATCACAAGCTCTTAGTCAATCCTGTGCAAGGAACCCTTTGCATTCCAAAAAAGATACACATAAGATTCCAATAAGATATACATCTGGAGTTGATCTGACACTAAAAGTCCCTTTCAAATTGAGATCATCTTGCAGAACAGTTTCTTTTTTTAATAAAGATTTTTTTAAAATTTTTGAATAAACACAAACAGACAAAACACACATACACAAAAACCCCACAGAACTGTCTTCCATTACAAATTGTAGAAAGTGTGTCGATTGGTTACAAAAACTTCCATGCATCCTTTCTACAGTCATCACCTATAATTCATATCAAATCATATATTTTAAATCAAGTATATATATATATATTACTATCATCATACCTCAACCTTCATTTGACTATAACTATTCCAGATCTAAAGCAAAACCACATAATAGCATTTCTTTAGCTCTTCCCAATATCATCCAGTAACATTACATCTTTATAACATGTTCTATATAAAAATTGGTTATATTTAATAACAGAGTTTCTAAACCTCCTTTTGTAGTCACCATTTGCAATTTATATCAGATATCATATATATATATGCATTATTATCATCAATCAATTCTTTAACTGTATCCATTATCAGTTCATTTTATACATAATGCTCTAAATTTAACTAAATTTGACTTAATTTTTTATTATAAGCTTTCATATATCAGCCTGTGTCTTTCCAGTAATAGTGCAATCTTATGTCTCTTGCCATTTGTGGCATTAGTATTCTGGTTATTTCCTTAGTAAGTTTTGTATGGACTTCTCTTCGCAACTTATTGCTTATTGCATATCTTGTATAAGCTCGAAATCCTCCATCTGCTTCTTCTATCAGCTTATCTTTGGTTATCACTAGTGCTCTGGCAAAAGTTTTCTCCTTAGTTCCATCCATTCTTCTCTCTTTTCTTCTTCTATACTTTGAGATCTGGGGTAAGGCTCCAGTCCATCTATCTCCCCATTCCATATTCCACTCTTTCCATTTCCAACCACACTCAGTTGATTGTCAGTATCAACAATTTTCTTGTCTCTTTGTTTATTTTTTTCCTTCAGTTTTTAGAACTCTGATCTCCACTTTCATGATTTGATGAACACCCTCAATTTTTCCATCAAATTTTACTGTTCTAGGATCTATGTTCTCCAATCACTTCTCAATCTTCTCTGTTACTTCTAATAATTTTTGAATTTCAAACATAATCTTTTGCAATGTTAAAGTTTCTTTTTCATGTTGCGCCATTCTTCCAACTTGTAAACACTGCCACTGTGGCATTCCAAACTTTTTCTTAAATTTAAAGCAAGTTCATTTATAATCTTTCAAGACAAGGCTTTGTTTTCACTCCACTCCAGCTGCCAATGAAGCTCCTGTAAAGCACCTATATAAACAACCCATGCTCTTCTCACTATCACTGTCTGTAAACAAGCTGAGGAACCTTGAAATGCAAAATCAAATGAGCAAGGAGAAAAAAGAATAGACAATATTTCCAAGCTTTCCAAGCCTCTAGCCTCCAAGTGGCAGTGTTACTTCCTTTCCCTCTGTTATTACAGCCCTCTTTATATTCCAGGTTTAAAGAAAACAAAATTCTTAAATGGAGCAAAAAAAAAAACATCAACCATCCAATCCAGCGTTATAAAAATAAGGAAAAAGATTTTAATCCATAGGTATATAAAAAAAAAGAATATAAAAAGTAGTAGAAGAAAAACTAATCCATTCAATTTAAAGAATAGGAAACATTTGCAAAAGGTTCCTCCCTAAAAGAAATTTTTTAAAAAAGGATAACACACTGTCTAATGTAGCTTAATTTCGCCGCTTGTTCTCTTCTGTTTTCAAATTCAATTTAGCTTTAATGTTTTTTGGGGTAGTCTCTTTTATAATAATATTAACTCACCAGATGGACACACTTTCTCTTTCCGTTATCCTCCCGTTCCAAAGCTGTCCCAACTTCAGCAGCTTCAATGGCTGCGCTTCTGTCGCTGGCAAAAAGAGATTCTCCTGGATCAATCAGGACTTTGCGGTGTCCCTGAGATCAGCAGGACCTACTCTTCCCTGTCACCGTCTCATCGGGACAGTTTAGGTCCAAAAGGACCGTCTAGCGGCAAAAGTATCGACTGCAATCTTTGAGCTCCAAGATTGCACGTTGTGTCATTGCGACGTCAGATCCTCCTCCTTGTAGTGATAGAGGACATTTTCTTCTCCATCTTCTCAGACAACCACACAGAAGTCAGATTCTTTGGCACCATCACACACTGAAGGCTACAGAGCACTTCATTAATTGTTCCTTTGTTCCACTGTTATATCTGTCATTTTTGGGGGGCAGGGGGCACAGCTTTCCTCACCCACATGCAATTGATTATGGTAGATAGATCAACAATGGACATTATTTCTTTGCATGGTGATGGTTATAGCTAAACAGCAGATGATATACACAATATTTCTTGTCAAATGGAGAACGGTAAAACATATCCTTCCTTCCTTCCTCTCTCCCTGCCGCCCTCTCATTATTTATTTCTATCCCACTTTTATTATGTTTATAAATAACTCAAGGTGGTGAACATACTTTATACTCCTTCCTTCTCCTGTTTCTTGAATCACAACAACCTTGTGAGGTGGATTGGGTTGGGACTGATCTAAGATCACCAAATCAACTTTCATGACTAAGGCAAGACTAGAACTCACCATCTCCTGGTGATTAGCTCAAAGTCACCCAGCCGGCTTTCATGATTAAGTCAGGACTAGGACTCACTGTCTCCAGGAATCTACTCCAGGTATCTAGGCCAAACTTAAATGTGCTTCTAATTTATTTTATAGTATTTTAAATCCTTTTTTTTCAAGATACATTTGATTTACAGCACTATTTTAATCTATCAGCAAATATGCTCTGTGATCAGTAAGCAGCAAAGCAATTAAAAAGAAACAAAACACAATAAAAGAGCAAATAACGTTGGAGAGATACAGGTTGATAGATGGAAGAGTATAATTCAAAATTAGCTAAACTTAGTTAAATCCATT